GGTCCGATCCCCAGTTATACACACAGCATGCTCTATATTTATTGCTCTGTATGGCCCCCGGATCCAGTAAGACTCGGTTACTATAGTGCTTGTTTCACTCTGTGCTGGGGCTCCGATCACCAGTTATACACACAGTATGTTCTATATTTATTGCTCTGTATGGCCCCCTGATCCAGTAAGACTCGGTTACTATAGTGCTTGTTTCACCCTGTGCTGGGGGTCCGATCCCCAGTTATACACACAGCATGTTCTATATTTATTGCTCTGTATGGCCCCCTGATGCAGTAAGACTCGGTTACTATAGTGCTTGTTTCACCTTGTGCTGGGGGTCCGATCCCCAGTTATACACACAGCATGTTCTATATTTATTGCTCTGTATGGCCCCCGGATCCAGTAAGACTCGGTTACTATAGTGCTTGTTTCACTCTGTGCTGGGGCTCCGATCACCAGTTATACACACAGTATGTTCTATATTTATTGCTCTGTAAGGCCCCCTGATCCAGTAAGACTCGGTTACTATAGTGCTTGTTTCACCCTGTGCTGGGGGTCCGATCCCCAGTTATACACACAGCATGTTCTATATTTATTGCTCTGTATGGCCCCCGGATCCAGTAAGACTCTGTTACTATAGTGCTTGTTTCACTCTGTGCTGGGGCTCCGATCCCCAGTTATACACACAGCATGTTCTATATTTATTGCTCGTAATGGCCCCCTGATGCAGTAAGACTCGGTTACTATAGTGCTTGTTTCACTCTGTGCTGGGGGTCCGATCCCCAGTTATACACACAGCATGTTCTATATTTATTGCTCTGTATGCCCCCCTGATGCACTAAGACTCGGTTACTATAGTGCTTGTTTCACCTTGTGCTGGGGGTCCGATCCCCAGTTATACACACAGCATGTTCTATATTTATTGCTCGTAATGGCCCCCTGATGCAGTAAGACTCGGTTACTATAGTGCTTGTTTCAGTCTGTGCTGGGGGTCCGATCCCCAGTTATACACACAGCATGCTCTATATTTATTGCTCTGTATGGCCCCCTGATGCAGTAAGACTCGGTTACTATAGTGCTTGTTTCACCCTGTGCTGGGGGTCCGATCCCCAGTTATACACACAGCATGTTCTATATTTATTGCTCTGTATGGCCCCCGGATCCAGTAAGACTCTGTTACTATAGTGCTTGTTTCACCCTGTGCTGGGGGTCCGATCCCCAGTTATACACACAGTATGTTCTATATTTATTGCTCTGTATGGCCCCCGGATCCAGTAAGACTCGGTTACTATAGTGCTTGTTTCACCCTGTGCTGGGGGTCCGATCCCCAGTTATACACACAGCATGTTCTATATTTATTGCTCTGTATGGCCCCCGGATGCAGTAAGACTCTGTTACTATAGTGCTTGTTTCACCCTGTGCTGGGGGTCCGATCCCCAGTTATACACACAGTATGTTCTATATTTATTGCTCTGTATGGCCCCCGGATCCAGTAAGACTCGGTTACTATAGTGCTTGTTTCACTCTGTGCTTGGGCTCCGATCACCAGTTATACACACAGTATGTTCTATATTTATTGCTCTGTATGGCCCCCGGATCCAGTAAGACTCGGTTACTATAGTGCTTGTTTCACTCTGTGCTGGGGCTCCGATCACCGGTTATACACACAGCATGTTCTATATTTATTGCTCTGTAAGGCCCCCGGATCCAGTAAGACTCGGTTACTATAGTGCTTGTTTCACCCTGTGCTGGGGGTCCGATCCCCAGTTATACACACAGCATGTTCTATATTTATTGCTCTGTATGGCCCCCTGATCCAGTAAGACTCGGTTACTATAGTGCTTGTTTCACCCTGTGCTGGGGCTCCGATCACCAGTTATACACACAGTATGTTCTATATTTATTGCTCTGTATGGCCCCCTGATCCAGTAAGACTCGGTTACTATAGTGCTTGTTTCACTCTGTGCTGGGGCTCCGATCACCAGTTATACACACAGTATGTTCTATATTTATTGCTCTGTATGGCCCCCGGATCCAGTAAGACTCGGTTACTATAGTGCTTGTTTCACCCTGTGCTTGGGGTCCGATCCCCAGTTATACACACAGCATGTTTTATATTTATTGCTCTGTAAGGCCCCCGGATGCTAAAGACTCCTCGGGTTACTTTCATAGTTGTTTCACCCTGTGCCGGGGTCCTGATCCCAGTTATACACACAGCATGTTCTATATTTGTATTGCTCAGAATGGCCCCTTGATGCAGTAAGACTCGGTTACTATAGTGCTTGTTTCACCTTGTGCTGGGGGTCCGATCCCCAGTTATACACACAGCATGTTCTATATTTATTGCTCTGTATGGCCCCCGGATCCAGTAAGACTCGGTTACTATAGTGCTTGTTTCACTCTGTGCTGGGGGTCCGATCCCCAGTTATACACACAGCATGTTCTATATTTATTGCTCTGTATGGCCCCCGGATCCAGTAAGACTCGGTTACTATAGTGCTTGTTTCACCCTGTGCTGGGGGTCCGATCCCCAGTTATACACACAGTATGTTCTATATTTATTGCTCTGTATGGCCCCCTGATGCAGTAAGACTCGGTTACTATAGTGCTTGTTTCACCTTGTGCTGGGGGTCCGATCCCCAGTTATACACACAGCATGTTCTATATTTATTGCTCGTAATGGCCCCCTGATGCAGTAAGACTCGGTTACTATAGTGCTTGTTTCAGTCTGTGCTGGGGGTCCGATCCCCAGTTATACACACAGCATGCTCTATATTTATTGCTCTGTATGCCCCCCTGATGCAGTAAGACTCGGTTACTATAGTGCTTGTTTCACCTTGTGCTGGCGGTCCGATCCCCAGTTATACACACAGCATGTTCTATATTTATTGCTCGTAATGGCCCCCTGATGCAGTAAGACTCGGTTACTATAGTGCTTGTTTCACCCTGTGCTGGGGGTCCGATCCCCAGTTATACACACAGCATGTTCTATATTTATTGCCCGTACGGCCCCCGGATCCAGTAAGACCCTGTTACTATAATGCCAGCCTCAAAAAGCAAATCCATCCCTGCTGCACACACAGCATGTTCCTATATATTTATTGCTCTGTATGGCCCCCCCCGGATCCAGTAAGACTCGGTTACTATAGTGCTTGTTTCACTCTGTGCTGGGGGTCCGATCCCCAGTTATACACACAGAATGTTCTATATTTATTGCTCTGTAAGGCCCCCGGATCCAGTAAGACTCGGTTACTATAGTGCTTGTTTCACCTTGTGCTGGGGGTCCGATCCCCAGTTATACACACAGCATGTTCTATATTTATTGCTCTGTATGGCCCCCGGATCCAGTAAGACTCGGTTACTATAGTGCTTGTTTCACTCTGTGCTGGGGCTCCGATCACCAGTTATACACACAGCATGTTCTATATTTATTGCTCTGTAAGGCCCCCGGATCCAGTAAGACTCGGTTACTATAGTGCTTGTTTCACCCTGTGCTGGGGGTCCGATCCCCAGTTATACACACAGCATGTTCTATATTTATTGCTCTGTATGGCCCCCTGATGCAGTAAGACTCGGTTACTATAGTGCTTGTTTCACCTTGTGCTGGGGGTCCGATCCCCAGTTATACACACAGCATGTTCTATATTTATTGCTCGTAATGGGCTCCCTGTCTCTGCAGTATGTTCTACAGGCATTAACTTGCCAGAGTATCGATGCATTGCCTGCAGGGAAATAAAGGAATGCAGCTTTCTCTGCGTCTTCAATCTTGTTTTTCATTCTGATCAATTTTCTTTGGTGTATTTGTACTTTACTCTGCTTTCTCATGTTGGATGAGTTGGGTGGAATTGATGGAAGGTGGTGTGTCTGTCTGTCCTCTGCTACCCCGAACATGTTAAATCTTTGAGTCGCCACACATTTAACCCTTTAAAAACCTTAAAACCTTGGTAAAGATGGCACATGTAGTATTTCGAGGTATTGATGGTATTTTGCTGACCAGAGATGGTGGCTTTGCTGTGATGGATGTCTTCCCCCATAGAAACATAGAATGTGACGGCAGATAAGAACCATTCGGCCCATCTAGTCTGCCCAATTTTCTAAATACCTTATCTTATAGTTAGGATAGCCTTATGTCTATCCCACACATGCTTAACCCCTTAAGGACAAATGACATGTGTGACATGTCATGATTCCCTTTTATTCCAAAAGTTTGGTCCTTAAGGGGTTAAACTCCTTTACTCTGTTAACCTCTACCACTTCAGCTGGAAGGCTATTCCATGCAGCCACTACCCTCTCAGTAAAGTAATACTTCCTGATATTATTTTTAAACCTTTGTCCCTCTAATTTTTTTTTTTTCAATTTGACAATTTTTATTTTGTCATATATCAAAAAGCAGTATATGGGGGGTACAGAATAAAAAGGGGAGGTGGGGAGGGAACTAGGCAACGTTGTTTACACGTACACTTGCTGCCTTGGATACGTACATTATGTAGTTCACATCACACATTACGCATTCCACATTTCCAATGCTAGCGTATACAATTTTAACCATTACACTTTAAACGTTCATATTTTCCCAATCCGTATTTGCTACCTTTCTCGGAGTCGCAAGTGTAGTATGGAGTGCTGGTCGTAATATCGCCACTTGTGTGTTTGGACAAGCGTCTAGCGGGTAAATTAGTTTTGCAACACGTGTGTTGTGTTGCTCGCCTTTATCCCGTGCGTATTGTGCCGACCCCCTGCCGCTGTATACTGGTCTCCTTCAGGGAGTCTGGGTTCTTCTCGCCTCGGGAGCTTGCGTAATGTGGTTGCTTGGTGGTAGCGTCTGGGCTAGGCGTTCGTGAACTACTAGCGGGGTGCTCACTTGAGCGGCTGTCTAGATACATATTAAGTTGTAGCTCGATAGTTGTGTGTGGGGGTGTGGGGGTTGGGTGTGCAGAGAAGGGAAGGGAAAGAATTAAGGGAAGAAAGGGGAAGAGATTCAGTTTGTGGACCTCTTGAAAATGGTGGTCCTCTTTGCCCTCCCTCAGGGCCTATGTTTCCTAGTTGCTAGTTCTACCTTTCTACCTCCAATGTACCATCGGTTCTATGTGTTAGGACCTCCTCCCAGGTCAAGTCTCAGACGTTCCCCGTCTCTCTAGCTTTGGTTCTCTACTCGATCTCTCGTGTCTTAGCGTACCTATGCGTCCTGAGTTCTGGAGTGGTGTGAACTTCTCTGAATGTATTTTGCCCATTTGTTTTTTGTGTCTATGATCGTGTGGTTATTTGTAATGTATTTATTTGCCATAGCCTCATATTCCCAGTTTGTGGATGTTTGTGTTAGGAGATCGTGTTTGCTGGGTGCTTGTGGTTGTTTCCACTGTCTGGCTATCAGGGTTACTGCCGCTATGAGCACTTGGAATATCAATTGTCTTTCCTGCTTGTGCCATCGGGCAAGATGCATGAATAGTATGCCCTGTTCAGGCCCCAAGCTGTAAGGGCGGCCTATCACGTCAGTGATTATCTCTTCCACCATCTCCCAGTAGGGAGTGATTATCGGGCACGTCCACCAAATGTGGTACATTGTCCCCCTTTCTCCGCAACTCCTCCAGCATTCCCCTGAGCTTCCCGGGTATAGTTTCGCTAGTTTGTCCGGGACCATATACCATTGTTTCTAGGTGAGTCGCGCATGATGTGTGTCTAGGTCTGCTATTGGGCGTCCTATGTCTTTCTACCAGGCATCTCTAAAGTCTCCGTGTCTGTTTGTATCTACTGCATTCAGTAGCGCATAGTTTCGACAGGATTTTTTTGGGTATACTGCCCTGTAGGCATATCTGTTCTAAGGTTCCAATATTTGGTGGTTCGGCACATGGACCCTTGCAGTGTGAGGCCACAAATGATTTCAGTTGGAGGTAAGGGAATATGTGTCTGGATTGCAAGGAGAACTTTGTTTGCAGTGCTGGGAATGGCAGTAACTCGTTGTCCACGCATATCTGGCGGGTAGATCCCCCTCTCACCCAGGGGGTGTGGTCAAACGTCGGTATGCCCACTGAGATGCTCGTGAGTGGGATATTCCCTATAGTTGGTCCGACCATGCCCAGTGATGCCCTCACAGAGTCCCATGTTTTGATCATTGCTGCCGTGGTTGGTAACATGGTTGTGTACGGCGGTCGTAGTTTGTACGGCAGCTGGTATAGGTGTCGCAGCCCCTGTTTGCATGCCCAGTGTGTTTCTATGTGGACCCATTGGGGGGGGTCTTCTACTGCGTTTGTCGCTGCTATGGCAGTCAGCAATGTGGCTCTATGGTAAGAACGGATGTTGGGCATGCCCAGTCCCCCTTCTTTGATCGGTTTTTGTAAGAGCTTGCTGGCCACCCTCACCTTGCGGTTGGCCCACACAAACCATACGATCAGCTTTTGGATTGTGCTCATGTATTGGCCCGGCAGACTAATCGGGACTTTGCGCAGCAGGTATTGGAGTTTGGGAAGTATAGACATCTTAATCGCCGCCAGTCTGCCCAGCCACGAGAGATATTTGCCCTCCCATGTGTGTAGCGTGTCTGTAAATGATTTGATCAGTTTAGTAAAGTTTAACTTGAACAAATGGGGTAGATGGGGGGGTATATGGACGCCCAAGAAGGTAATATAATCCTTCCTCCAGTCGAATGAGAAAAGCTCACTCAAATGTTTCAGCCGGTGAGACTGGACTCCCACACCCATAGCCTGGGATTTAGTGACATTCAATTTGTAGTAGGAGTTAAGGCCGTATTCTTTAATGTCTTCCATGAGGTTTGGTAGTGAAATTTGGGGTTGCGTTAGTGTCAACATGACATCGTCCGCAAACAAATTGATTTTGTATTCCCTGTCGCCCACTGTTACTCCGTGTATGGAGCTGTTGGCCCGTATTGTCTCCGCTAGCGGCTCTAAAGCCAACACATATAGTAAGGGGGAGAGTGGGCATCCCTGCCTCGTTCTGTTGGTGATGCTAAACGGTTCCGATGTGAAGCCTGCCGTGACTACCTGTGCCGATGGTTTGCTGTATAAGGCCTCCACCGCCGAGCAGAATGCCCCCGGCATCCCAAACTTATCCAGGACTGCTTCCAGGAACCTCCAGCTCAGGCGGTCAAAGGCCTTCTCCGCGTCTAGTGAGAGCGTTACACATTCTGTATGTTGCCTGTGGACGCTATGTATAATGTCGATGACCTTTCTCGTGTTGTCCCCCCCTTGTCTCCCTCTAACGAATCCAACTTGATCATTCCTTATCAGGTGTGGGAGGATCGTGCCCAGTCTGATGGCGTATATTTTCGCGAAGAGTTTTGTGTCTGTGTTCAGTAGTGATATCGGTCGAAAATTTTGTGGGTGGATTGGTGGCTTGCCCGGTTTAGGCAATGTAATGATATGAGCTTTGAGGGCTTCTGGCGGGGGTGCGTGCTTCGTGGCTGCTTCATTAAAAGCATTAGTAATGTGAGGGGCTAGGGTTCTTTGGAAGTACTTGTAGTAACAGTTGGCGAACCCGTCTGGACCTGGGGCTTTATCGGAAGGTAGAGAGTCAATCGCTCTCATCACCTCCGTTTCTGTTATCAATGCGGACAGGCTGTCCTGCTGAGCGGGTGTAAGTTTGGGCAGGGCGATCTTGTCTAAGTAGGAGGCTATTTTGGCCCCCTGTGGTTGGGATGTGTTTGGGTCGTCCCTGAGATTGTACAATGCTTCGTAGTATTTGGTGAATGCGTTACTAATGTCCTTGGGTGCCACTATTTTCTGTCCGCTTGGAGACAGCAAGTACGCTATTTTTTGGGCTGCTTGTTGTGACTTTAATCTTTGTGCTAACAGTCTACCTGCCTTGTTTCCCTGTGTGTAGTTTTGTGCCTTTAGCCTTTTCAGGTGGTATCCCACTTGTTCTAAGGACATTTGGTGTATCTGTCTTGTGAGTTTCGTGATTTGTTCCTGCAGTTCGTGTGAGGGAGTTATTTGGTTTTGTGTCGTGGCGCGCTGGAGGTCTGTTTGGCATGTGTGGAGCTGAAGGTGGGATTTCCTTTTTAGGTATGCTGCCTGCTGTATCAGTTGTCCCCATATCACTGATTTGTGGGCCTGCCACAGGGTACCGCGGCTCGTTTCAGGTCTATCATTGTCTTGGAAATATTGGGCTAAGTTTTGGTTCAGCTCCGTGCAGAAGGCGCTATCTTTCAGTAATGTTGTGTTTATTCGCCACAGGCTTCTATGGGTCGGGTCATATAGGTTTTTCAACGTTAGCTCTACCGGGCATGGTCGGACCATGTAATCTGTCCTATCTCGCACTGGGCCGTTTGGTCTATCCCTGTCCCTGAGATAAGGAAGCCATCAATGCGGGAATAGGTGTTGTGCACTGTCGAAAAGAATGTATACCCTCTTTCCCCTACATGAGTGGCTCTCCATACATCACACAGATGGTTGTTGTGTATAAGCTTGCAAAGTGCCTTACTTTGTTTGCGGAGGGGTGCGTTGCGCTTTCTAGCTGGAGCTAGTGTCGTATCTATGGAGGGGTCAAATACATGATTGAAGTCGCCACATATGACTGTCGTCCCTAGCTGTACTGACTGCAGTTTCTGTATAAGTTTGTGTAAAAAGTTGTGTTGGTTTGTGTTGGGGGCGTATATGTTCGCTATGGTGTAGGGCATGTCATTAAGTGTGCCTACTATAATGACGTATCTGCCGTCCGGGTCAATGTGTTGGGAATGCGGGGCATAGGCCACATTTTTGCTAATTAGTATGGAGGTGCCTTTGGTTTTGCTGGCCGATGTGGCGTGGATTTGTATAGGATAATCTTTCTGTAGGACGGTGGGGTGTGCGTTGGTCATGAAATGTGTCTCTTGAAGGCATAGAACGTCTACTGCTTTATGTTTGATTTCTCGGTATAGGAGGTGTCTCTTAACCGGGATGTTCAGTCCCCTAACGTTGTGTGAGTAGATTTTCAGGGTGGGAGGTGGTCATAAGATGGTATTTGTGCTTGTGTTCGACATATATATTTCGGGGGGTCCTTGTGTCCCAGTTCCTCCGAACTCAAGGGCTGTCCCCGGGTAACCTGAGGGCTATTTCGCATGTCTTTTGGCTCAGAGGGAGAGAGCGGCATGATCTCCGCTCTATCTAATTTTGGTCGGTAGCTTACGGAGTGCATCGCAGGTGGGAGGGGTGTATGAGGTGCAAGCATGAATACAAACATAAAAACATAATAGAATAATAACACAGGTATGTCTAAAGAAGTGATATTTGCTCAAACACACCAGTGAGGTATCCCCTACACCTTCACATAAAATAACATACAACACACAAAGAAATAGGTGGAGCAAATGGTGATAATGAAAGAAAGAAAAATAAAATTAATACTTCTCTTTCTTCTAAATTTAAGCTGTGGGAAATAGAGATATACAAAAATAGTGCAAATATTGCTATACACAAGCTCTTAATAAAACATGTGTCAAATTCACTCACAATGGAAGAGCCATATAGTATAACCTGGCTCTGGTGTGGATCTCCTCTGGGATCTTAGTTGGGTGATCCCCAAACCTCTTTGATGCTTGTTGTGGTCAGTCTCCCCTCAATGATGAACCATGGAAGGTATTTTCCAAAGCAAAGAATATTTATTCAAAAAAGGTAAATAAATAAAAATAAGTAGTAGTAATACAATAAATAAAACCTTGTAATGTCCAATATGCTTGCCAAAACGCGTTTCGCCGATGTGGCTTCCTCAGTTGGCATATAATGTTGGTGTTCTCTTAGTTCTTTAAATCTTCTTAGAGTTCGCGGTCAAATTTCTGGTGGAACGCATATGCGCATATGCGTTCCACCTAGTACTTCCGGGTTCCGTCCCCTTGGTGGCGTCCATATCACTTCCAGTTTCGGCAATAATTCAATATATCAGGTGGAACGCATCCATGCGTTCCACCGTTGATTTCCTAGTTCCATGACATCATTTCCGGTCTCGGCCGGGCTCGTGCGTGCATAGGTCTCTTTTTAGCCGTCATTGGAACGCTTATGCGTTCCATACTAATTCTACTGTCCATAATGTCTTTTAAAAACCTATGTAATACTTGAGAATGTTACAAACAAATCTTTTTCAGACAATGCTTAGAGCCAAATAATGTTAATACAATAGTTCAAATAGTGATCCAATGAGAAAATGGAAAGTAAATAATAGAGGTGTCTAAAAACAAATATAAAATATGCCCTCAAGCTGATTAAAAATAAAACATGACCAATTAAAAAGACATAAAATAAAAATATACATTCTAATGGAAGGCATACATACTATAATTATAGAAAACGGACAAACACCTATATTAAGAACATTCCTAAAATCTTAAAGGTATATTACAAGCAGAGTTATATTAAAAATTTAAAGGTATATCACAAGCAGAGTTATACTAAAAAATGACACAGCTCAAAGTCTTGATTAAGACCATGGGGAATCAGGGTCTTAAAATTATAGATACACTTCATTTCTTCTTCCCCTATCTTTTTGTTAAAATCTCCGCCTCTCCAGTCTTTTTGTACCGTTTTAATAGCACAAAAAAATGTATTTTTTGGATCGCTGTTATGGTGCATTTTAAAATGGTTAGAGACACTATGTGTCTCTACTCCTTTTTTTATATTTCTAACATGTTCGGAAATTCTAATGTTGAGACATCTCGTAGTTCTTCCTACGTAAATTAAATCACAGGGGCATTTTAAAATATAGATCACATTTTTTGAAAAACACGTTAATTGATCTCTGATATAAAAGGTCTTATCATTCTGATAATTAAAAGATAACACGTCTTTTTTTCTGGCATGTGGTTCTACAAGCTAAACATGAACCACAGCCAAAAAAAACTTTGCTTTTTTTGAAAAAAGGATCTCTCGTGTTTTGCTGTTGTCTGGGTGACCCTTTTTTTCTTTTTTTTTTTTGAAAAGGTTGCGTGGATGGGCTGTCGCTGTCTGCCTGCCAGTGTCCTGAGATTGTATGTTGGTATAGTGTAATAAAAATTATTATTAATTTTTTTTTTTACTCTCTATATAGTAGTGTGGCGGAGCTTTCTGGGGTCCTGGGGGGGGGCGTGAGTGTGAGCTCCCCTGCCTAGGCCTTTCCCGGTGTTGGTCTCCATGTCACTATATCCATGACCCAGGCTCCTATCTAGCCTTGTTCCCCAGATTACATATGTCGCTTTACACCCTCCGCTCTCCCCCCAGTCGCCATGCCCCTTGTCTTTGCCTGCACATCTGTAGTGTAGCTCCTATTTACATTGCCATTAAACATAGAAAATTTAACAAAGCAAATGTTATACAAGCCTGGATTCAAATGGCTGGATTAACAGTTCTCAGGTTCAGCGACACAACACCCTCCCAGCAAGGCGAGTTAACGTTTGGCTTTCCTCCATGATGGAGGGAGTCTTTGAGTCTCTTTCGTTGCGGGCGGAATTTCTATGCCCCAGGTTCTGAGGATTTTCATTCCTTCGTCTGGGCTCTGTATTGTAGTTGGTCTTCCGTTTCTCTGTACGATCAGCTTCACTGGGTATCCCCATCTGTATGGTATTTGTTGTTGGCGGAGTTGCGTCGTGATTCCTGCAAAATCCTTCCTGCGTTTAAGCGTGTATGCTGAGATGTCGGCATAAATTGCAATTGCCTGGTATGCCGCCGGCATGTCTGTTTTTTTTATGGTTCTGTTTGCTCTCATTACTTCTTCCTTTATGTGAAAGTAATGCATTCTCAGCAACACGTCTCTAGGGGTTTCAGGTGGTAAGAAGGTGGGTTTTGGCACTCTGTGAGCCCTGTCCATCAGGAACATGTCAGGGGGCACATCAGGGGCGAGCGCTTTGAATAGTCCCACTAGGTAGGCCGTGAGTTCTGTCGGGCCAGGGCCGGACTGGCCCACCGGGATACCGGGAAATTTCCCGGTGGGCCGCGGCACCTGTGGCCGGTCTGACAGCCCTAATCATTGGGCTGACAGCTCCGGCCGCACAGAGCCCCATGGGAGCAGGGGGAACCGGCCGGCACAGCTAGCGGGGCTAGCGGGGCTTAGCGTGCGACGGGGGCGGGGCTTACCTACGGTGGGGGCGGGGCTTACCTACGGCGGGCACGGCTGACTGCAGCATGGGAAGCAGGAAGGAGTCCCTGCTTCCCCAACAACAAGCCTCCAGGAGCTGCAAGCAGGAGGGAAGAAGGAGGTCAGTGTGTGAGTGTGAGTGTGTGACTGTCTCTGTGTGAGTGTGTGACTGTGTGTGTGACTGCCTGTGTGTGTGTGACTGCCTGTGAGTGTGTGACTGTCTGTGAGTGTGAGTGTGTGACTGTGTGTGAGTGTGTGACTGTCTCTGTGTGAGTGTGTGACTGTCTCTGTGTGAGTGTGTGTGTGTAACTGCCTGTGTGTGTGTGACTGTCTGTGTGTGACTGTCTGTGAGTGTGAGACTGTGTGTGAGTGTGTGACTGTCTCTGTGTGAGTGTGTGACTGCCTGTGAGTGTGTGACTGTCTCTGTGTGACTGCCTGTGTGAGTTTGTGACTGTCTGTGTGTGACTGCCTGTGTGAGTGTGTGACTGTGTGTGTGACTGCCTGTGTGAGTGTGTGTGACTGTCTGTGAGTGTGTGACTGTCTGCCTGTGTGTGAGTGTGTGACTGTCTCTGTGTGACTGCCTGTGAGTGTGTGACTGTCTGTGTGAGTTTGTGACTG